TGGAGGAGATGTGTCACTGGAGGTGGGCTTGAGGTTTAAAATCCTATAGAGTTGACAACTCAACTATCACATACGTACAAAAAGCAGTAAGCACTGAGAATGCTAGCTCTCTATGCAAGAGCCATGTAGGACTCTGTAGCTGCAGCCTGGTTGTGTGGATTTTCACCTTAGTTCCATTCCTTGCCATTTTCAGAATCTTGAAACTCTACTTTGCCTCTGCAGGCCAGAGGTTTCTGATGTCAAATGTGAAACAGCAACATGTCAGTGAGTGATTGCTACCTTAATGCTGTGTAATAAACAACCCCTAGGCTCTGTGGCTTCTAACCTATGAGTCTTTGGCTTTCATTCCAAAGCCCACGGGTTAGCTATGGCTCTGTCAGCCTGGGCTGTGGGTTTGATTTAGGTCTCCTCCATGTGTCTACCTGCAGCTATCAAGAGCATATCCTTTTATGGTGAAGGTCATACATATTAGCGTGGCAAGTAGAAACATATGATACTCTTAAGAGCTGAGCTCAGAAGGGGCACATTGCTCCCACCTACATCCATAGGTATAGCACATCATTGGGGCTGGGGGAGTGTCCTTCCAAACCATGAATCAGGATAAGAGCAGGAGAAGAAAGAACCTTGAGAAAACCCCAAATTTGTAGTGCTGACCTGGGAATACTGGAGAGGTTCCATGAATGAATGTATGTTGGGGCTAGAAGCAGATCCTCGCACACAGCAGGTGCTATATTCTTGTTGTTCAGGAGTACAATGAGCTCCAAGAGAAAGAGAGGAGATTTAGCTTACGTGTTAAACTTACCCTTTCCCTTGAAAAGTCATATAAAGAAAAAGAAGGAAGCTATTTCTTTTCAGGAGATGGCTTTTTGCAATAGGTAGGAACTGGGTTGTCTCTGAGGCAGAGTGGGATGTTGGGGAAAAGCAGATACAAAGTCTTGGAAGCAGATGGAGCCACTGTGGGAGAAAAACTGGGGGTGTGACTCAGTGTCAGAACATTTTTCTAGCATGTAGAAAGCCTGGGGTTGAAGTTACATCATTGAAGAGAGGGGAAGGAAGGGGCTGGAAAGGAGAGAGAGGAGAGACAGAGAGGGAGAGGGAGGGAAGGCCAGAGGAGGAGGGAGGGAGAGAGGGAGGGAGGCAGACAGACAGACAGACAGACTGTGACCTTGGCCCAAGTACAATGGAAGAGTCTTGTAGGTCCCAGTGTGGCATCACTCACTTCTGTCTCCCTAGTACCAAGGCTGCCACAGAATAAAGGTTCCTAAGGGGCACAGTGGGGGGCTGGGAGAAAGAAGCAGTGATGGGGACAGGGGTCTGAGAGAATTAGAGAAAAATGAAGAATACTCACCCTAATAGCCAGTGAGATTGTTAAAGGGGTGCACTGGTCACAGTGGATACAGTCTCACCATAGACTGGGTAACAGCCTTGCTAGCAGTTCGGATCAGGAGTCCTACGACAGAGGGGACACAGCTCCTGTTTTCTGCGAGTTTTGTTTCGGCCCAGTTTTCTAGCAGTGAAGGCAAATAGGGCTGTCCCTCTGACTTGTCTCTATCCCATCCCTTTCTTTCTTTTCCCTGTGAGTTGCAGAATGTGCAGAGGCCAACACAGGGGTGGCTATTGCTCTTTAGGATTAGGAGGGAGGGTGGAGCCTCTCTTTGGCTTGAAAAGCTTGCCCGAGCCAACGGCCCAGAAGATAGACTCACTTTCTTATAAAGGGTGCAATTAGAGCTGGAAGGATGGCTCAGTCAGTAAAGGGCCCAGATACGATGCCAGGTGTGCTGGAGTAAGCCTTACACTGGGGAGGCAGAAGCAAGCAGGGTTCTGTGAGTTCGAAGCCAGCCTGACCTACATAGCTAGTTCTAGGACAGCCAGACCTATGTAGTAAGACCCTGTCTGAAAAACAAACATAAGACCTAAATTTAGGCCCCACCACCCATGTGAAAAGCTAGGCATGAGGCATACTGGTGTTCCGAGCACTGGTGAGGAAGTGACAAGGGACCCCCCAGAGCCAGCTGGCCAGCCACTCTAGTTTACCTGGTGAGCCCCAGGGCCCGACCAGAAAGACTTTTTCAACATAGTCAAGGTGGTAACTCCTGAGGATCAGTACCTCAGGCTGAACGTCACCTCTGCGCTCTTGTGCAGACATGTGCACGGGCACCTGTACACAGGCGCACACGCCCAAATTTTAAAAATATTGTGAAACGATGGGCAGGAATTTCACACGTCTCATTTTGATATCGTCAGGTTGTTGGATATCTGGCCCTTAAGAAGCCTCAGGGTCTGGCTTCTGACTCACAGCGTGAAACTTGAGGTGAGTCACGTGGGATGGGGCTCCAAGGAGGAGCCTGTAGCTGTCTGACCAAGTAGTCTCAGGTGGGGGTACTCTCTGGGGTTCATTGGTTATGGAAGTCAGTGTTTGCTCTCAGGCTTGGCCTCACCACTTGTCCCCCCCCCCCCCCCCCGTGACCCTGGACTGGCTACTGGCCCTCCCTAAGCCTTCGTGTCCATCTTAGGGCAGAGGTAGTGGTTTAGGGGGATTCGTTTGCACCCTGACAGGCGACAGGGCTACACATTACATCACAACAATGGCTACTCTTAACTTGATGGGATTGCAGCTGTAACATTTCCTTTGGAGACACAATTTATGCCATGATGATTCAGGGCTGTGAAGAAGCATGAGGCTGCCAATCACGGACATTTACCTTCACCCTCTTCTGGAGGCTCAAAGTCATTATGATGGTGTTGGTGGGTGCTGCTCTCTTCTGAGCTCCGAGAGGGAATCCATCCTAGGCCCCTTTCTGAGATTCCAGTGCCACCAGGAATCCTCAGCAGGGCTTAGCTTGCAGCAGTATCACACCACCCTCTGCCCCTGCTGTGGGCATTTCCCCGGGTGACTCTTCCTATGGCTCTTTGTGTGTCTATGCACCCGAGTTTCCCTGTTACAGGGAGATGGGTCATATTGGATTAGCAGCCACCACCACGACTACTCTGAACTTGATGTGAATGCAACTGTAATATTTCCTTTGGAGAACACAATTTATGCCATGATGACTCAATAAATCCACTTTTAGGATTATAACAACATCAAAAAAATTCTTGGTTCCCACAAAATATGTATCAGAACTTTTCCAGTAGCTTCATTTTTTATAGTCACAAACTGAACACAAGCCAAAGGTTTATCAACAATCCATTTTCAGCTGGATTTTATTCACACAGACTAGCACTCAGCAAAAAAAGAAAAAGACAGCTGCTGATATGAGTCACAACATGAACAAATGTGCCCTGTAATTCCACTTGTGTCAAGTTCAAGAAGAGTTGAGCTGATTGGATGAGGTCCATTGGAGATATATTAGTAAATTTGATGGTGATAGTGATGATAATGATGATGATGCGTGTAAACAACTTAAGAGGAAAGATATATTTTGGCTCACAGTTTCTGACACCTAGTCTGTGGTTGCTTGACTCCCCTGCTTCTGGGAATCAATGAGACAGCAGCAAACCAGGGCACAGTGCTTGTGGGGAAGCGAACTGCTCTCTCAGGTCACCACAGACAGGAAGCAAAGAACAATGGAGGGGAAAGGTTAGGGACAGGATGCAGGCATGCCCACAATGACCCCCTTTCTCCAGCTCTGTCCTACCCCCAGCCATCTCTCCTCTTCCTAATAATGCCAGTAAATGATGGACCCATCTGTAGACCAATCCATCCATAGGCCAAGAATCCTATGGTTCAAATAACCTCTCGGTGAATACATCTGATGGTTGGAGAGAAAGGTATTTTTGTTTGTTTTGTTTTTTGTTTTTCAAACCAGGGCTTCTTTGTGTAGCCCTGGCTGTCCTGGAATGAGCACTGGCCTCGAACTCACAGAGATCCTTCTGCCTCTGCCTCTGCCGAGTGCTGGGATTAAAGGCAGGCTCCCGGCTAGAAATCAAGTTCTTAGCATATGAGCATTTGGCAGAGGCAGGGCATTTTATGTCCACAGCTGTAAAGGAAGATAATCTGCTTTACTCAAAGCAACTTAAATATTAATCTTTAAAAAAAATCTCACAGAACCATCCAGAATGCTGTTTGGTCAAATATCTGGGCACTGTGACCCAGCTAAGAGGACATACAAAATTAACATAACTGAAATGACTTCGTAATGCAACAGGAATGGTGGCCGATACAGCTAGTGAGGCCCTCTTGTAGTGGACCCTTATTTTTAGTGTCCTACTCCAGGATATCCCAATACCACCCCAGAATACCTGCATGCTAAGTTTCTTGCTCTTTGGGCGCGGGGGGGGGGGGGGGGGGGGCGGCGGGGCAACTGAATCACGTCCAGTGTAATTGGTAATGGCAGTGCTTCACTTACACCCTCTTCCTAGCCAGCGAGCCCTCCTCAGCTGCTGCCAGGGCTGTGGCTTCGGTTTATCTTTGAGACCATCGAGGGAGAGTCCCCTACCCTAGCGGTGAACTGTCTTCATTCTAAACCGATGTGAACTTCCCTTCCCTTCTTCCATCCTTAGCTCCCCGTCTTCCTGACGATGACTGACTGGCACAGGTATACAGGTTCCCTGTCTGGCCTCGAAGGCAGCCCTTTGGAACTCGGTGGTTCTTAACTGAGTGATAGGGATGGCAAGCACCTTTTCAGGGAGGGAGTTCTTGGCTAAGGGGAGGGCTCCTTATCTTCAGGGAGGTTTTTGTGGCTCTGCCATGCCCTCTCCTTCACTCTCAACTCACTCCTGCTTCATTCCCCACAAAGAGCAGCTTCACCAGTTCTATGGGGGTGGGCAGTAAGGGGGGGATGAGGACAGCTGCTTGTTGGGAAGAGAGACTTGGAGTTGGCCTTGAGTCCCACCCCCAAGACTTATTGGAATAGGAAATTGCCACTTTCTGCAGCCAGATAAGCTCTGATGAGAACAGCTGCCCCTGGGAGAGTGTTAAGAACCAAACCGAAAGCAAGCTGGTTTCCTGGTCAGCAGGCACCAGGCCTAGGCTAGGGTTTGTAGTCCTCACTGCAGCCCGGGCCTGTGGTGTGCTGAGTCACCACCCTAGAAGCCCTCAGTGGGGTTTTTCCATAACTTTGAGGTTTGGAAATGTCCCAGGCTCTCCTGCTCTAGTTGGAATCTCATCTCTGGCGTTCCTAGAGGCTTTCTGCTCTCTCTGGGAAACAGCTGCTCAAAGACAGAAAGTAAGTGAAAGCCAGGGCCAAGGTGGGGTGAGAGGGGTTAGGAAGAGGGCCCAGCGGAGAGGGGGATTGTGGGATGGAGAATGGCTCCTTGCTGCTCTCAAAGAACTTTCTATTCCACCTGACTGGAGGAGATAACCAACAGTTTCTTCCCTTCCTTCCCCTCCTTTTCCTCCCTCCCTCCCTCCCTCCTTCTCTCCCTCCCTCGCTCCCTAGCCTCCATCCTCCCTCCCTCCCTCTTTCCTTCCCTCCCTCCCTTTTTTTCTTTTTTTGTTTTTTTCAAGACAGGGTTTCTCTGTGCAGTCCTTGCTGTTCTGGAACTCACTCTGTAGACAAGTTGGCCTCGAACTCAGAGATCTGCCTGCCTCTAAAGGCATGTGCCACCATCAGCAGGCCAACAAAGGCTTCTTAACAGCAAGGCTGCAATGACAGGGCATTAAGCTGTTCCCTTAGAAGAACTGCTTATAACTTTCTTCTCTAAGGAGGATTTAGAAGAAAAAAAAAAAGCCGGGCAGTGGTGGCAAATACTTTTAATCCCAGCACTCGGGTGGCAGGTGGATCCCTATGAGTTCGAGGCCAGCCTGGTCTACAAGAGCTCCAAAGCTACAGAGAAACCATGTCTCAAAAAACCACCACCACCACCAACAACAAAAAGACTTAGGACAGGGTTCGGGTGTCAGAGGGACCTGATTAAAAACCTCACTCTGTTCTTATACATTCTGTGTTACTGGGAAAGTGGGAAAGCTACTCCCAGCTTAGAACCAATTTCTTCATCCATGAATAATCATGCCCTCTGTGCATGTTTGCTTTCTGGAATGGGGCAAGGAGGCATCCAGAGGCAGAAAAGGGCTTGGTAGGACATGAGTGCTGAGGGAAAAGCCAACTTCACCAGAATAGCTACGGTAGCCACGGTGGTCGATTTAGGGCCATTGCAATTTCTTCTAAAGTAGATTTCACTATTTATATACCCCCACACCCTAGGTCTGGATGGAGCCTCCAGCTAACTCTTATTTAGTGATCTGAGATGGCGCACAAAATGGCCTATATGCCATCCCTCTCCAACAGAAGGCCTTGACAGTCATGGCTTTTGGCTTTTTTGTTTGTTTGTGTTTTGAGACAGGGTTTTACTACGTAGCCGCGACTGTCCTGGAACTCACTCTATAGACTAGGCTGGCCTCAAACTCACAGAGATCCCCCTGCTTTGCTTTATGGAGTCCTGGGATTAAAGGTGTGTGGCACTTCCACCCGGCCTTGACAGTCACTGCGCAAGAGTCCTTAGGCCTGTGAGGAGGATTTCCAAAAGGATGCTGCTTTGTAGGTGTCTCAGGCTTGCATGGCTGGGGGTGGAGGTGTTTTCTCAATGAGCGAAGTCCTGCTGTGGTTACTTGAACCACTGAACAGAGAACAGGTTTGGCGTGGACGTGCTTATGGGGAATAATCATTAGCTTGGTGGGCTGGTTTCACTGGAGGTGGCAAGAGCCTGGGAGATAAAGGTTCTGGTGTAAGTAGCTTAAGTTTAAAGAGATCTTAGGACCTTCAGTAGGAATGTGAGAAATGAGCCAGGTAAGAAAGCAGCCAGTGAACTGGGTTACTATGTTACTATAACAAATCATTATATGAATACATCAGCATAAAAAGATGAGAGGTCGGGGGCTGGAGAGATGGCTCAGTGGTTAAGAGCATTGCCTGCTCTTCCAAAGGTCCTGAGTTCAATTCCCGGCAACCACATGGTGGCTCACAACCATCTGTAATGATGTTTGGTGCCCTCTTCTGGCCTGCAGACACACACGCAGACAGAACATTGTATGCATAATAAATAAAATATTAAAAAAAAAAAACATTAACAGACCATAAAAAAAAAAAAAAAAAAAAAAAAAAAAAAAAAAAAAAAGATGAGAGGTCTCTTGGCTCCATGACTTTGGGCCTGGGCAATGGGTGTGCACCATGGCAGAAGTGTGTGGTAGGGCTAACAGCTCACTTCATGGTGGCGAGGAATTAGAAAGGAGAAAGAGACCATGTCCCACAGCCTCCCTTGAGGGCACACTCCAGACTAGGAGTCCTTGCTAAGCCTACCAGTTAAAGGTTCTGTTACATTGTCGCAGAACCAAGTGAGAGGAGCAAATCTTTAACACACGGGCTACTGGAGCCATTTTCCACAGCAGGACAAATCCGGCAGTGTTGAGCAGACTCCTGGGGTAGGACATTAACTGCTGACTCCAGGTGGACAGAAGGAGGTCAAGAGGCTGGAGGAAGTGTGCGGGCAAAGACCCACGGGTGCTGCTGGTTGCAGGTAGTAAGAGCCAAGAGCAGTGTTTGCTACTTATGTGGTCATGAGGACCTCAGGGGAAGGAGGGAGGGAGTTTCGTTGGAGAGCTGGGCCATCGGCTGTCTTCTAAGGAACAAATGGGTAGTTTAAAGATTTTCTTGAAATCCCAGAGTTGGGCAGATTCCTTGTCAAACTCCCCACTATCACGTAACAAGGTGATTATAAGGTGGTCCCCACTTGCTGTTCCAATCTGAACTGACACCCTGTACCTGGTGGATTTATAGCTGTTTCCAATGAGGAGTGGGCTCTGGTTCGAGTCTGTAGCTTACTTTGGCTAGTGGAAAGTGCTTGAAGTCATGGTGAGTCCTTTTTGACCTTAGGCTTTAAAAGACCCCATCTGCTTTTACATGGCCGCTTAGACATTGTTGTGTGAACAAGGTGAGCCTACAGGAGGGTAAGAGACCTCAGGGAGATAGAGATGGGCTCTAGATCAGGCGTAATTAGCCCAGTCACTAGTTCGCTGAAACATGCCAGCCAGCCCAGGCAATATCAGAAGGTACCTCTTCGTCTCATAGCTGATCAGGGACACATGATGACCCAGACAATAAGAGGTGGCTTATCTGATCTAGACTCGTAAATTCATGACATTCAAGCCTATTTATTTTATTTTTATTTTATTTTATTTTTTTGAGACAGGGTTTCTCTGTAGCTTTGGAGACTGTCCTGGAACTCACTTTGTAGATCAGGCTAGCCTCAAACTCACAGAGATCCACCTGTCTCTGCCTCCCAAGTGCTGGGATTAAAGCCTGTACTACCACCACCCAGAAAAGCCTCTTTATTTTGAAGGAATTTTTTCTTTACTGTCCAGCTAACCAATACATTCGAGTCATTGGACACTCAGTCTGACTCGATACTGAAAGCGTCTTGCAGCCTACTTAAGGCCTCCACAAAAGGCTCTCTTGTGACCTCGGCCAGCTTACATTTTGGCTTCTTCCTTATTGATGGAGCTCCCTGGGCACTCTTCCATCTCTGTTCTGTGTTCTTCTTTGAGATCTCTTTCTGTCTGTGTATGCACGTGTGTGTGTGTGTGTGTGTGTGTGTGTGTGTGTGTCTATATCTGTTTCTGCACATGCATTTATACATATACCCACGACCTCTAAAGGGTTCTTTTTCTCCTTTATGTTTTGTGCAGGGCTGGAAATGGAGCCCCAGGCCTTGCATACACAAGGTGAGTGCTCTTCTATTGGACCATATTCTCAGCTTGTATCTCACATCAGGTTAGTCTGCCCTTGTTAAGGACCCCCTGAGGCCCAGACTGCACTTTAGTCCCTTCATTGTCCCCCTTTCCTTAAAGCTGTTCCTAGTGTCCATTCCAGGTTATGAGAATCTAGCTCTGTGCATTTGGTTAAATACCATGAGCTAGCCCTGCTCTACCCCTGAATATAGCAAGAACGGTGAGCCTCAGCCCCCAACAACCAGAGCTAAAATTAGCATATCTGGCTGGGTCAGATTTCCTGCCCTTTTAGGGCCCCTCCCTACTCAATAGCTCTCTTCCTTGTGACTTGAGCTGGTCATGGGACCATCTCCCTCTCACTATCTAGAACCTGATGAACCAGAATGAATTAGGACACCGCCCAGATCTCTGGTCTCTTCGTCATAGCATTTACTGACCAGGGCATTTGGTCACCAACCACAGACACTAACTCTGGCCTAAGTGGAGAGGAGTTTACTGGTCGGTTACAGGGTGCCTTGGGAGATTCCTCAGAAGGACTGAGCATGAGGAAACCGTGCCTACTAGCTGCCATTGGCACCACTCCTTATGGCTGTGCTCTCAGCTGTCCAGACTCCGAGCTCTGGAAGCATGACTAAGAGAAGGCTGAGCTTGGCTCTGGGCCTGTGCCCTTGTCACCAGAAAAAGCAAATCATTAGACTGCTCAACCTCCTTTCTTTTCTTTTTTGTTTTTTCGAGATAGGGTTTCTCTGTGTAGCCCTAGCTATACTGGAACTCTCTCTGTAGACCAGGTTGGCCTGTAACTCACAGAGTTATGCTTGACTCTGTCTTGGGAATGTTGGGATTAAAGGTGTGCACTACCACCATCCAGCTTCGGCCTGCTTTCTTATAAAATGCAGGACTACATGCCTAGAGATGGCAACACCTACAGTGAGGTGGATCCTCTTACATCAACCATTCATTGAGAAAATGTTCCACAGATTTGCCTAAGGGCCATTTTGATGGAGGCATCTTCTCATACCCCGCTTCCCCATTAGCTCACATCGAGTTGATAAACAACTAACCAGCATACTGTTCAACCGCAGTGCCTGATCTCTCCTCTCTCCTGGCCCTGTTGCCCGTTCTTCTTTGCCGGTTATGTTCTGACTCGAGATTTACAGAGTTCAAAGTTAACTGTGTCAGGGAGGGGGTGTGAAGCTATGCAGATAAGTCAGCGTCAGTGTTTGAAGCTTTGAAGAAGTCAGCTCAGGATTGCATCAGTGTTAGAGGAGTCGAAGCTAGGAGATTAGCAGCACCCTAAGAATCCTCTGGAAGGAAACTGACTATGGTTTGTTCAGATTCTAGGAAAAATTCATGTGGTATGAAAGAAAGCCCCAAGACAAGCCGGTAAAAGAAAATGCATGCTGCAAGAACACACTTCTAGAACACGAGCTCATGAATATGAGTAATACCTGAAGCGGCTCTAAGAGTACGGAAAAGGCGATCGCCTCAGGGGAAACAGGACAAAGGCAAAGGATCTGACAGGATTTCTCTGTGTAGCCCTAGCTGTCCTGGGAACTCACACTGTAGACCAGGCTGGCCTCAAACTCACAGAGATCCACCTGCTTCTGCCTCCTGAGAGCTGGGATTAAAGGGGTGCACTTCCCACACCCGACTACATAACTGAATCATTAAAAATCGAGTATGAGGAGCTGGATAAATGCACTGGCTGCTCTTCTAGAAGTCCCAGATTCAGTCCTCAGCATCTAATGGCATTGCACAACTATTTGTAACTTCAGTTTCAGGGGCTCCGATGCCCTCTTCTGACTTTTGTGGACAGTGGGTACACATACGAGGTACACATACATGCATGCAGGCATAGCACTCCTACACATAAAAGCAAATAAGTAAATCTTTAAAAATTCAATTTGACTTATTTATACCACTTTTTGTGTTTATGTTTTCAGTACCATGCTGGGAGAGATATTGCTCAACTAACCAAGCAATATTGGCTATGTATATGTATATTTGCTATGTATATGTGACATAATTAGACTCCTCTGGTTTAGCCATTTACAAATGGTGCCATTGTTTTCTCCATTTTAGCCATATGACTGCACATGATCAAAGATGATTGCCATATACCAAATGATCCAGGCTCCGTACAGATACTCACCTTCTCTGTTAGTATACTTGGTACATGCCCAAGCTATGTGATCTTAAACAAAAGACCTAACCTCTCTGACATTTGGCTGTTATCCTGTCCAGGGTTTTCCGAGGGAGAGCTTGAGGAAAAGGTTTGTGAAGAGGTAGTTTGTTTGAGAATGTGACTCCAGGAAGCAGGAAAGATAGACGGGGACTGAATCCTAGAAGAGCACCTGTATAAGGAGGGTCAGCACACTGGCAAACGCTGTGGGTATCTAGGGCTTCGTGCCATCATGACCTTCCCCAGAAACCCTGAAATGTCTCAGAATCGTCTTCTGGAGAACAAGTACTTACCCACTGGCTCTTATCTCCTAACGGTCAAGGGAGACCCACAGACTATAAGTTCCGCGTACTGATGAGCTACATGTGCTTAAGATCGGTGCCCCCTTGGTTATCCTACTTCTCTGTATTTGGGAAACGTGTTCGCTAGGTTTTGGTCAACTTGACACAATCTCGATTCATCTGCGAAGAAGGAACCACAATTCCAGAAGACTGGCCTGTAGGGCATTTTCTTTATTAATGGTTAATGTGGGAGAACCTAGTCGGTTGGTTGGTGCCACCCTTGAGTAGGTGGTCCTGGATGGTATATGAATGCAATCTGAGCAAACCGTGTAGAACAAGTAAGGAAGCACTTCTCTGCCATGACCTCTGCATCAGTTCCTGTCTCCACATTCTTGTCCTGCTTGAGTTCCTGGCCTGAATTCCTTGGATGATGAACTACAGTCTGAATGATGAAATAAACCCTTTCTCCCCCAAGTCGCTTTTGGTCATGGTGTTTGTCTTAGTTAGGTTTTCTATTGCTGTGAAGAGACACAATGACCACACTGACTCTTATAAAGGAAAACATTTATTTGGGTCTGCTTGCAGTTCAGAGGTCTAGTTCATTATCACCATGGCAGGAAGCATGATGGCATGCAGGCAGACATGGTGCTGGAGATGTAGCTGAGAGTCCTGTGTCAGAATCCGCAGGCAGCTGAAAAAGCAAGTGAACCACATGGGTCAGGCTTGAGTATCTGAGACCTCCCAATCTATCCCTGTGAGACACACTTCCTCCAACAAGACCACACCTACTCCACCAAGGCCACGCCTCCCAAGAGTGCCAGTCCCTATGAGCCTATAGAACCCTTTCATTCTAACTACCCCAGTGTTTTATCACGGCAACAGACACCCAAACCCAGACAGAAATTGGTGCCAAGAGCTGGGTGTCGCTGTGGCAGAACTGACTGTGTTTGGGGGAGGAATGTGGAAGGACTTTGGAATGGAAAAGCTACTGAGCGTTCAGGGCTTAATGAGCGACTGTGGGGACTTAGATGATTGTGTGAGAGCGATGCAGATGGCGGGGACCCGACTTGTGAAGTTTCGTAGGGAAGCAAAGACGAACAGAGCTATTTGAACCATATTTTGAATTAAGAATTTGAGGTCCTGGTCAGCTGGAGCTGAATAATTGGCTGTGATTAAAAAGAAGCCAGCATGACTGAGGTGAAGTCTTTGCTTGGCTGGGATAATCAACGCCCATTAGCTAGTGCTGAGAAATTAGTAGTGATTAAGAAGAGACCAACAATGTTGAGGTAAAATCTCTCTGGACGGTGGTGGCACAGGCCTTTAATCCCAGGACTTGGAGGCAGAGGCAGGTGGATCTCAGTAAGTTCAAGGCCAGCCTGGTCTACAAAGCTAGTTCCAGGACAGCCAGGACTCTTACACAGAGAAACCCTGTCTTGAAAAACAAAACAAACAAAAAATTCTTCTTAGGAACATTTTCTCAGGGTAAGCTATTGTTCAGAGGTGAACACCTTGTGCTGGAAAGTGAGCTTAGTAATGTGTAAGAATCTCCCAGGTTGTTCTGGCTTTGAAGGCATAAAGGGATCACGGAGAGTGGCTGAGGCTTGGGAGCACGAGCAGTCAGGAGAGGCCTCTGGTGAAGGCACAGCTGCAGGTGATGTAGAAGTCCCAGGATTGAAGGGGTCTTGGAGAGGTTTTGGCTTGACACTACATGGCGAGGTCAGAGATCCTGAAGAGAGGCGCAGCCCAGTTTCGGTGGAAACCCCAACATTTTAGAGTTGCTAAACCATGGAATGAGTGCCAACGACAGCAGCAGCCATGGAGGGGAGCTAGCCTGAGCCTACATGACAAGTTCTGTGTGGTTTGGATCACAGGATCCAAGAGGTAGAGCTGCTCTAACCCTTTGGCACCAAAAGGATCATGAGTGGATCTCAGGCATCAAACACCAGGGTTTGGTTTTGATTTGATCTGATTGTAAATGTGCCCTGGTCTTTCCTTCTTGAAATAAGAAAGTGTTTAACTTATTTTCTCTGTCATGAATGCCCACAGTTTAGAGACTCTGGAATTTTAGAGAGACTTTGGATATTTTAGAAGACTTTTAAACATTGAAAACGACTGAACTTTTAAAATGTCTGATTTGTAAAATACTGTAAAATTTTAAAAAACTGGAATGTGCTATGGCATTAACATTAACATACCATCTTGGGGACAGGTAAAGGAAAGGCCAGTTGAATAGTGGTACATTGTGTGTCAAGTTGATCAGGGGTCTATTGTTCCGGCTAGTTGTGTTTTGAGTATTTATTTAGTTATTGTCAACTTGACACTATCTAGAGTCATTTTGGAAGAGGGAATCTCAATTGAGAGAATGCCTCGATAAGATTAGCCTGTGGGGAGACCTGTGAGGGCATTTTCTTTGTTAATCATTGATGCGAGAGGGTCCTGGTCATTGTGAGTGGGCCTATCCTGGTCAGGTGGTTCTGAGTGATAGAAGAAAGCAGGCTGAGCAAGCCATGAGGGGCAAGCCAGTGAGCAGCACCTCTCCATGGCCTCAGCATCAGACCCTGGCTCCATATTCCTGGAGTTCTTGGTCTGACTTCCCCGGCAATAGAGTACAATCTATGCCATGACATAAACCCTTTCCTTGCTAAGCTGATGGTGTTTAACTGCAGTAATAGAAACCCTAAGTAAGACAGGAAGTGCCAGGCCAGGGTGAAGCCTGCCTAGAAAAGCCCCTCTGGGCTCTGGGTGGAGGGTCGGCTTTGAGCCAGAGGTTTTTAAGGTGGTGTTCAAAGAGTGTGTGCCATGTTCATCTTCCCACAAGAGGAGGTGGGCCTTCACCTCACAGGGATGCTGCATGGCTTGGGCTATGTCCTGCACTGGATAGCGAGGTGATGGGTTCCAGCCAAGGAGCTGAAATAACAACAGAAAACCAGGCCATTGCAGAGTGACGTAGGGCTGGAATTGAAGGAAGGATGATTTTGAGAGATGCGAAAAGGAGGGTGGAATGGGATTTAGAACCAGAGCCAAGCTGGGATGCTGTGGAGTCTAGGTTTTGCAGAAAACTGTGGACAATAACATTTGTTAGGGAAACTTGTTACCTACAGTGCAGAGCTCATCCAGGAAGTCTCTGATAGTCAGTGCAGAGGCAAGCGTTTATTAATTTGTTTTTGCTGTGGAACAAACCACCTGAGAGCATGTGTGTATGTATGAGTGTGCTGAAGCAGGCACACATGTGTGGACATACCTGTGGAGACCAGAGGTTGATCTCAGGTATTATTCCCTCAGGGCAGATGCACTTTTTTTTAATGTTGTGTGTGTATGTTTCTAGATGCATATACACCATGACATGTGATGGAGGTTAAAGGACCATATATGTCCTCCTACCATGTAGGTCCTGGGATTGAACTCGGTTCTTAGGTTTGATGATGTTAAAATAAGTTCAGGGTCAAAGGTCAAAGAAGGAGACTACTAATCCATCTGAAGTGTCTAGACGAGGCATGCTCTATGCTTTTGTTGTTTGTTTGCTTTTTGAGAAAGGGTTTCTCTGTGTTGCCCTGTCTGTCCAGGAACTCACTCTGTAGACCAGGCTGACCTCAAACTCAGGGATTCTCTTGAGTACAGGGATTTAAGGAAGACACCACCACAGCATACTTTACTCTTGATCAAGAGGGTGAACTCAGAAGAGTAAACACACAGAGACAGGAAGTGCATTTGTTTTTATTCTAACTCAGGTGGTGACTGTGTCTTTTCCCCATTGGCTGGGATCCTACGTCACGGTCTTAGTTTAATTGGCTAGTCTGAAGTGAATTGGCACACAGGAAATGAAGGAAGAGGAAAGGTCATTCTCCCAAGGAGAAAGGAGTCATAGCTCTAGTCGCTAAAATTCACGGAAACCGCAGAGGACCTTCCTGTAAACAAAGGTTTTACTGGGCAGTGCTGGTGATTAAAACATTTGGATAAATCTTACAATGTGGGCGTGGTAAAAAAGATTTCAATTCCTTGTTCTAAACACAAGTTTCATAGCATATGATAGAAAAGATTCATTGGCTTTTCTTCCCTCCCTCCCTCCCTCCCTCCCTCCCTCCCTCCCTCCCTCCCTCCCTTTCTTTTTGGTTTTTCGAGACAGATTTTCTCTGTGTAATAGTCCTAGCAGTCCTGGAACTCACTCTGTAGAGCAGGTTGGCCTCAAACTCATGGAGATCTACCTGTTTCTGCCTTCTGAGTGCTGAGATTAAAGGCGTGAACCACTATGGGCCCTACTCTGCTTTTTGATCCAGGATTTGGAGCTCAAGACTGCTCAGGCTAGATTGACAGGCTGGCAAGTCCCAGACATGTCTACCTCCAGCTCCCTAGCACTGTGATCACAAGCACGTGCCTCCATGCCCAGCTTTTCTGTGGTTTATGGGTGGAACTCAGGCCCGTATGCTTATGCAGTAAGCACTTAGCCAACTGACCTAGCTCCTCAGCCTTACAGAGTCTATTGGCTTACAACCCTAGTCAGCTGTTATTTCTCACTAATGTATGGATCTTCTGGATACTTCTTTGGTCTAGGTTGGTAATCCAATCTTAGTGGCTCTCTCAAACCTCTATGAGCAGTTGGCTGGAGGCTGGTTCAGGGTGGCTGCCTTACGTGACATCTGACTGACCCTTGCCTGGGTCACATGATATCTCATCCCCCAGAGGACTCTCGAGGGCTTCTTTTTATAGTGGCTGCACAGATTTCCTAGAGAAGTAGAAATTCACATGGCCTCTGGAAGCCTAGGCTCAGATTTTTGGCACATCAGGTTGTAGTAGCCAAAGCAATCCATAGGGACAGCCCAGATCAAAGAGGCAGGAGGATGCTCTCCGTCTCTTTATGGGAGGATGATAAAACAAAGTCACATTGCAAAGGGTGTGACATAGGGAAGAAAATCACGGGTCACTTCTGCAATTAATCTATCACAAAAGTGCAAGGGAAGTTGGCGGAAGAGGTGAGACTAGAAGAGGCCAAGGGACTGGAGGTCTGGCTGGGAGCTAATCTCCCTAGTGACTCTCGAGGAAGAGGAAGCGTCATGGGATTTGCTGCATTCCAAGATAGGTAGATCAGGGGGAGGGGAGGCTTTAGGGGATGCAGGGGAAACAGGTCTCTGGGTTTGCAGCCTCTGGGTCAGTGACGGGCTATAACCATTCCCAGACTGGGGATGTCAGCAAGTGACTGTGTCTGACGGTCGGGGTAATTCCGAAGCCAGCACTGGGAAGATGGGAGGCCCTGATAGATGGCAGTTGAGGTGAGCTTTCATCCCTGAGGCCCATGTCCCTCTAGGCTGAGAGATCTTGTCCAGGTCTTTTTTAGGCTTGTGGATTGCTGTAGAACAAAGGAAGGCTAAACTTGCCGTGGAGGCTTGCCGGGGGGGGGGGGGGGGGGGGGGGGGGGGGGGGGGGAAAGCATCTTATAAATCTTTTGGGCCGCACATTTATTCATGA